ATTTTCAAATTTCAGACCTTTCCCAAAATACATGTAGAAAAAGCTATAAAAAGGTGATGGCATAAAAATGAAAAGCAGAGAAAAAATAACCAGTTGGAAAGGCATTGAAAAGGAGGTGATGGCAAAAACGAAAAATTCTCAAATTGAATAAACATGCTTGTATAAGGGAAAAAAATTAAAATAAGAAGAAGAAGACGTGGGCGGTTATTAGCATAATCATAGTGATAACAGCGTCGAAAAAAGATACAGATGGAGGAGTGGGAAAGTTGATTGTATTGGTGTGAGAAAAGCTGGATTCAGCTAGTGTTGAAGAGGATGCGAATGCCCAAAATGCCACGTCATAAATTTGATTAAACATCTGTTCGTGTTAAATCAGAAGAAAAAGTAGAAGAAGAAGAAACTAAACCTATGAAGCGAATGTAATTAGATGATGTTTAGATGATGAGGAGGTGTTGGAATGTAATAAGAGTTATGATAACGTTTCAGTTTAAGTCATCAAGCTAATGAGTATTTGCCCACTATTTCAGCACGAATTGCTTGTGGCTAGCGAGGATTACTTCGAACTGGTTGCTATTCTGGTGTCTGTCTTCGTTCCCGATTGCCAGTGAGTGCTTTTTTTCTTCCTTAGCTTTTGCAAACCCACACCGATCCGGTCTGCATCTCTTTGAGGTCTTCCATTAGATCGACACGAAAAGAGAGAAATCTGAATCCTCTTGAAATTGTGGTTTCCATACAATAATAAGCCAATTCGACCCCTCTTTTCTCCCGATTTGTTTCTATTAGTTCTTCTTATTTCCTCTCGTTTCGTTTTGTGTCCGAATTCATTTTCTCCCAATGATTCCCACACGAAGGTCGCCTAACACTATTTCCCCTATCGCCCACCACCTGATAATTTACAACTGTTCTTCTAACGACATTTCATTCTTGTGTTTTGCAGAGAACAAACCACAGCAGAGGCGATTTCTCGAATTATGCCGATGTCTCATCCACCCTATATTCTCCTGAAAACCGATCAGAGTGAGGTGGAAAGAAGAGTTTTCGAGAAGTTTCGCTATTATAGACGGCTACCTGTTGGGACAGGAATGATAAGGTAAGGATCTAGATAGGATGGATGAAACGTACAAAAGTAAACATGAATAAGACATTCCATTTCTTCAGTCAACCATATCCAAGTTTTGTTTTTCGCTTCATATTACCTCCAAAGGAAGCCCACCCAACCCGTCAACTTTGAGCTCAATTATCTCGATTCATGGGAAAGATATCAAAATTTTGTCAGCTGAAAAAAATATTGGTGATAATATGATGAATAATTTATCAGTTGGCAAATTTATGATCTCTTACAGAAATCGAGACAATTGAGCTCAAAGTTGCCGTTTGGATCGGCTTCTGTTAAGGTAAATACGGTATCTTAAATGCCACATTTAGTAACACATGCAAGGCAGTTTTTTTCCTACCAATAAAAACATAACGAGATCAGATCATCTTCACATCTTTTCAGCTTCATAAAATTAGCCGAAAAAAGCGAGTCCTACGGATATCGAATGTATGAAGCACTAAATGAGAACAACGACAAATGTATCCTCTCAATTGGATACAAAGGAATCTATATCTACAGGCGGAGTCGTCATCAGAACCTCATAACCCCATATCTGGCATATCCATGGAGAGTGATAGATAACTTGTACTATCGGGACAAAAAGTTTTCGATCGAAATCCGAGAACCCAAGAAGTGAGTTTTTCTTCTGGATTATTTGAATATCAATTTTTCTTTTCCCACGCCCTCAATGTTTTCAGGAATGCAAGTAGCGAGAACGTATCAGATGATGCGATTCTGATGAATGACAGGCAGCTGTCGGAAGCATTCAACCACCCGACAACACAGTAAGTCTCCTCTTCATCCAATTATCCCCTTTATTTTTTGAATACTCTGTGCATAAACACCTCCATTACTGCACCTTTATGTACTCATTGTGTCAACGCAACAGAAGCGCCGAGTTGCGTCAACTCGAAAAGTTTCTTTTTCAAGACACCGCTGGTAGCAATAGGCCAATAAGCGCTTCTTTAAGATAAACATAATGTTTTGATTACCCAACCAATAGGGACATTCAATGAACTTCGTAACAGGTCACCTGGCAACAAGACCTTCTTTTTCCCATTTGAATTGTGGTACCTAAACGGACACTCGTGTGTGTGTGTGTGTGTGTGTGTGTATCTTTTGTATGTGCCAGTTTAAAAATGATCAAAGCGGCTCAAATGAGATGTGACAGGAGGAAGAAAGAGACAAGGAACCGTGAGGACACTACTGGGCGCGAATAAATAATTAATGAGACTGTGTGTATGGTCATTTGTAGGGCGCTGCTTGTTTCGACATGAAATACGATTCGAATTGGTACCCGCGTCGACTAATTTCTGGCGAGAATTGAAATGTAATGCATTGAATAGGTCTTTCCTGCCTGAAGTTTTTAAAAATAACCCAGAAATTCTATACATCGTGTTCAAAATTTTCAAAAACCACAAAACAAATTCTTGGAATAAAAAAGAGAGTTCTGAAGATCGCATTTTCTCCCAAACTACATACGGCCTAAGCTCTTCTCCAATATGTTACAATTTTCCAGAGTATCGTGTGGACGTCGTCGTTCAAACAACCAGCAGCCACGAGTCCTTCTGTTTCCATTCACATGCCAAACTCCTCTCGTGTGTCGAACAGTTTGGATGTCGGCAATAGCGCAACATCGTTTTTTTCTGGAACGAAAGGAACTGAAAAAGGTGAGTATATTGGTATATCGTTTCCTTCTTTTAATCTTCCACCTTCTTCTTCCTCTTTACTTTTTCCATCCTTCGTTCTTTTTATTGCGCAGAAGGCGTGACAAATTTCAATGGACGATGATGTCGTCGTTGAGGGTGGCCAGAAGAGGTTGTATTTCGACGACGGCAAAAGTATCTTCAAGCTATACGAAAATGATACCTATACTTTAGTCTAACTTCTACTTTAAGATTTTTTTTGAAATTTGAAATATTCTGCTTCACTTTTTGCGTTGCGCCCTTCTATGAGTCATTCGTTGACAAACACAACAATTCCACTCTCAAAAAACTTTGCTTTCGTTTTGTTTTCTTCTGATTTGTTGTTATACTTTGTGATACGAATTGTCTCTTCCAGCGCTTCTTCTCCCATCTCGTCAGTTGCACCCATCAGATTCTTAGGTGTTTTGTACGTTTTTATCCATATCATTCCAATCTACTTTTCTCATATGTTGCCAGGAAACATTGCCATAAGATTGAATTGCTAATCAAATACGCGAATAGGGCAAAACAATTTCTTTGCTCATAAAGGAGCCAAAAGTAACTGGACACTGGTCGTATCTGAGCAACAGCTTCCCCACAAGGCTCTTTTTTTTTCGTCTGACATACGTCATAATTCATTTCGTCGCATCTTTCCTTGAACTCATCACCCTGTTGCCCCTGGAGACGTTGTAGGTTGCTGGAGGGAGCAGTAGAGCACTCCCCCCTTTTTTCTTCATTTTAATACACTTCCCTTCATATTAGTACGCGCAGCAAAATACTTATGCAATACGCTTAATCGGTTACTGTTGAGCGACGTTTGAAGTGGACCGAAGGTGTTGCGTAGCCGGATTTAGGAGGGTGATCTAATTGATTGAGTCACCCAATAGAAAGGTGTGAAAGAGTGAAAGACTACTGTAATGTGAAACATAGATAATTTTGAATTATTCTAAAAATTAGTCTATTGCATTTATTCTAAAAAATTCCTATATCTAAATAATATCTTCCTCACTAGTGTGATCGTCATTGTCTGTTATTGTTCTGCTTTGTTTGAATGACTCATATCTCACACTCTTTTCTGCATTTATCAACGAGGAAACGCTCTTAGTTTTCCACTCTCATACTTCGTGCCCTATTTTTTTCCCTTCATTCCTGACAGTCTGATCTTATACGGTTTTTCGAAATACTTCGAAGTTATTCTACTAAATCTACTGCCATTGTTTCTGTGAGAGCCAGCCGCGGCGTCCTATATCTCCGTCTCTTATTCTCCAGTAGTCTTCCTGGGTTTCTATTGTGACAAATGATCGTGTGGTGGCCATCACAAAAATTTGCATTCTCCGTTCTCCAGTTCACTTGTCTTCTTTTTTGTGGTGTCATCTAAATATTTGTAGATTGTTGTTTTCCATAGTGTATGAGAAACTGCCCAGCAGCAGTCAAACTAAGAGATTGATGAAAAATATATGACCACAGAGGTCCTCTCAGTGCTTTTCTCTCGAAGGAGAAGGAGCAGCGGTCCACTTGTCACCAGCCATTTTACACACTCTAACTCGGAAACCGGGGGACTCAAATTCTTTTTTTTTGCTTGCTTAGTGGTGGTGGTGGCTGGTCTATTAGATCTCATTTCTGTTTCCCTCATCTGTCACTCATTTTGTCATTGTTTTTGGTTCACAACTTGACTTTTTTCATCATTGTGATTCGTTGACCACCAGGCAGCCCACACTTCTTGAAACGACATCCTCGTTTGCATATGAATAGCATCAGAGCTGCCACGTGGTTCGATCTCACATCCACACACCCATCAGGAATCGAATACTAAACTCATAACGTCTCGATTTTGAACACTATTTTTAAAATTTTTTACGCACCGATGCTTCTATTTGTTCAACAGTCAGTCCCGGGCGCCTTTTTTGTCGTCGAGGCGCCTGTGTTATTGTAGGAGAATGTGTGGCGTGTGTCATCATCATCCGAAAGCGGCCCCAACCTTGTAATTTCGAGTTCCGTTTTTTGTACGAGAAAAAATGGGCAGGATTTAGTTATAGTTCTACCCACTTTGGCTCCCCGCCTTACTATCTCTGATCATATGGTTAGTTGTAGTTTGTCTGTTTGCGATATGTAGTTCACATTTCTCAAACATCTAAATACAACGGTGTATTGTGTCATCATTTTTCCAAACAGATTGATGAATGAAATTGCCCTATTCTTTTAACAATTTATCTTTTTACAAGTTCCCCTGCAAGATTTATTCTTAATGTTTCCCTGACTTTTTTCTGTATTCAGAATATACAGTATTCTCTCATTCAGTTCTGTAGGAATGCCCTTTGAAGTTCATATATAGACGATTTCGAATCAGTCACTCGAAAAAGTGTCGCCGCTTGGCCACTTGAAAATATGAGGACATCTATCCATCGCGCAACTCGAAAAGCACACACACATTCAACAAAATATATGGATGGGTAGTGGCAATCCGAAACTCTCCCAACATCAAAAACATGTATTTTTGTTTTCTGCAAATGTTGTAGTACTCTCTATCCATCCATGGTATTGAAGGAAAACCACAGATTCCTGATCATCTCGGGGCAAAGATAGAGAATAGAGTTGTTAAGCGGATTGTCTCATTTTCCACCCAAATAGACAAATAACACTCCTGGAATGAAAATTACGGTAAAAGAAGAAATACCGTTTTTTCTACAAATGTATGCCATGTTTTCAATGTGAGATGGTTGGGCTGAAAGTTCCAGGATGGAGATTCAAGGACCTTGTAGTACGGTATAAATCTTTGTCACGAAATGGGCGCGGTTAGAAGTTCGGGGCAAAAAAGGCGTGCGCGCACCACAGCGGGTGAAATGACCTTAAAATAAAAGCGGGGTCGGACAAATGGCGAACAATGGAACAATCAAGGAATGCAAGTAGTTTTGGCATGCGGCAAAACTCAGGGCGAAGGCTAATTGGAGAGATGGAACGAACGAACGTTTTGCGCAGCGATGCATCCCGATTCAATTATGAATTCTGTTTCTCCTGTTGTTGCTGTGTTTTATGAATTCGACTATATCCGGTGATCTACAGGACGGAAAGGGTGTGTAGCTGTGAAGAGACAAGGACGTCTAACCTTTTCGCAAAGAACGCGCATGCGCGTTTCTTTCCTCGGATCAGCGACTGTTTCTCCGACTGTGTCTCCGGAAAATCCGTTTCCTTTTCTCAAACGAATACCATTCTCACTACTACCAGTGTTTTCCTCCTGTGTTACCTATATTTTGTGGCTTCTCTGCGAATCGTCAACTTGTTGCGAGAGTTCCTGTGTCCACTCTCTTCCTCCTGAAGGTGGTGGTGGTGCACAAGAAGGGCGGTAAACACTGAACATTGAGAGGAGCGCAGTGCGCGAGACTTCGAGTGAATTTCGAAAGGAATCTGTGAGAGAAAGAGAAAGAAGGGATTGTGCTCTCCCAGTGTGTCGTCTCTGTGGATGCTTATTATTCGGTACATCAGTTGTCTTTCCTACCATTTTTCATTCAATGCACACGGACGATGATGTGCTGCAAGCTGTGCAGAAACCTGCCTATCGACACAGATATTTACAGGTATGTCAAGATGTTTCAATTGGGTCTCCATCCATGCACCACTGTTCAATGTGCCATAGTTTTTCTTTGCTCTGTTCTCATCTTCTCAGATGTTTCGTTCCTTCCCCCACCCATTGATCTTTCACTCGTTAGCCATCCTTCTAAACGACCTGTTATCAGGCGTCATCCCTTGCACCTTGCTCTCATTCCCACGCTGATGGCTGCTCCCGGAGCCTTCACGTGTTTTCTTCTTTATCCGCATGTGCTCCCCAATCTCTTTCCTCAACTCTTCTTGTTCGAATTCTTTACAATCTGATTGTAATTACAATTTGTAAATCTAGTCTCGATTATTCTATATTCGCTAAATGTTCTACCCAAAAAAAGTCATTGTCTGAAAAACCGAAATTTGGTTTTGTTTTGTTTGAATTTCTGATGAGCCTGTCGTATAGGGTGGTTTTACGTTTGACAAGAAGCATCACTCATCCAACAACCGTCTCGACATCTACTCATACCCGAATTCATAAAGAATTTTGCCAACGATATTTCTCTCTCTTTCTATAAATTTTCTTCCGAATTTCAATTTGTGTTGCAATCTGGTTTTTCGCTATCAACGTCCTTTCCCTGATCCGATTCGCACTCAACCGAATGTAAATTATCAGCTAATCGGTGACGGGTGAACCGCACTTTCCCACGCATCCTCCTCCTTCCGATATTCTTCTTTCATCTCTAATCAGTCTAATCTCACTCGATCTCATTTTCTCAATACGGTTACTAGATAGTATATTATAGTTGCCTAGGATCCATTAATTATAAAATGAGCCACCAAGAAGACAACTTTCAACATCACTCCTCTTGACTCTTTCTTGAATAATACTGTACACAATACACTATGAGACACTGCGCTAAACCCAAGTAAACACATAGCCTAAGAAGGTTTTCGGAGAGAGAAAGATGCAGTAGTAAACCCCATTTCAATATATTTATTCCTCCCCGAATAGTACTATAATCGGTCGAAAGTAGGTTGTGGTTCTAGTGGTCCTTTTTCCCGTCCGAATTCCGTCAATTCCGGAAATGACATTAACACTTTTACCCCGTCAATGTCTTTTCTCCTATTTTCTTTTATTTTGCATTCCTTTTCTTTCTTTTTACTCACCATTGAGTAGCCATCACTTCTGTAAAAATTACCTACTACTGCCACTTTTCCCTCGCAGATAAACTTTTTTCTATTGCTCATAACTTCACTGAAATGTGCCTCTTGAAATTCAATTTTCCTCTTGACAATCTCCCTCTATTTTCTCCTTCCTCTTCTTCCAATGTTCGTTTTTATACCCAATCGTAAAACCCGACTTTGGCGATAAAGTGTAAATCCTATAATGCCTGTGAAAAAGCCTTACTGTACGTTTCTCTCTTGATCTCGTTTCCCATTATTTCGTTGAACTGGAGGAGCAAAGTGTATAATCGGGTCACAAGTACATTGCTATCATGTTACCAACAAGTGCCAAGAGCGGTGGAGGTCCTATTTTCATTCCTGCGCATCCCATTTCATATGTTTTATGAGGGACGGCGAGATCGAAAACAATAAGCTGACGAGAGGAGATGTTCTATCAAGACCGTTCACAGATGACTATCTAATACCGTCCTTTTCTCTCAGATTCCAAATTTCCACTCTTCTCCGTTCCATTCGGTTCTAGAAAGAATGAATCGTTCTTTGGTCCACTCATTTGTTTCTTTTTCCGGCAACCAGTTACTTTTTCTTCCTTCCACTCGTTCCCGAAAAAAACGAGACGCTGCTCCAATGGCAGTTAGTGTCCACTCTGAATTTCGTGGCTCCCATGGGGAGGGACGAGTACGGAGATGGTGTTAGGCGACGAATTGGGTCTAGTCAACACATTTTTGTCGTCGAGAATCGGTATCTAGAATGTGGTGAAGATGAGAAGACGTTTGTTGGCTGCTTCACACTTTTTCGAAGAACTGTGAACATCTTCTATCGTACTCTTCTTTTTTCTCTGTATCTTTATAATTTATTTCCTATTGCTTCGAAGCCAACATTCCCCCACACACTACCACTTTGTTCTCCTTCACGATGTGTTTTTCCCGAGTTTTATGTGTTTTTTTGTTCCTGAAACGATCAGCGTGTGTATGCTGAAGATTGATTTGATTTCAAATGGCTCTTTTCTATTCGTCTATGTCTCTTATTGCGTATGATTTTTCTTCTTCTTCTCCAAAAAATATGTACCACTGAAATTTGATGCAGCATCGTGATAGATTTTATAGATATTCAAAATATCATCCATCTGACCACCGCCGCCATTCAATGCTCCCATGAATTTTGTGGTTCTCTTTGTCTTTGCATCGAGAAATTATATTTTATTGCCCCGGCGTTCCACGACGGCGTGGTGCAATATGGCCACCCCGTTCGTATCTTCATCTGTTACAGTAGACTAGTATCAAATGTCTGTCGGGGTCCTTTTGATGGAATTGGCGGTCTCCTGCTAGGAATTACAACAGGGAGGAAGTATCATCCTGTCTTGAACTCTATGGTAGAATTGAATCTCATAACCGCTTTCCTAATTTGGGGAGTACCACGACGCAATCATATTCCCATTATTCTCTTGTTTATGCTAATTATGGATAGTATTATTTTGGGTAACAGAAATCAGATTGCGTGTGAAAACAAATGTGAGATTCACTCTACCTGATCCCCCATTAGCCCCCATTTTGACCGTTGGAGCCTATCAAATGAGCTACTCAAGCTTCACGCAACACATTCCTTCTGAGAATTCTTCCACATCTTCCAAGTCTCTTTTAAGTGCTGGCGTTGGTTGATCCACCTGCTACCTGATGACATGCCTTCTCGTGTTAATCGACTTGTCATCGAGCTGTTTTCTTTCTGGACAGAGGCAATTAACCGTAGCCAAAAAACAAAATCTTGGGTGTGGTCAGATGATGATTCAAAATTGGCATGGAGGTCATTCCGATCTTCTCTCACTCTAATTATATCAGATCAGTCAGTTACTTTCTCGAAAACACATCATCATCCTATTTATTTTTTCTGTTTTCGTCTCTCTCTCTCTCTCTCTTCCCACCGCATTCTAGGGCTTCTGTTTATTTTATTAACCATGTCATGGCTTGCGCTAAATCTATGATGTTACCACCTGTCAGCAGTCTTTCTCTACTTCTTGGCACTCGTCTGCCCGTAAGCTCTTTCATAATTTGAATATAGAGTCTCTCGCTCGCTCTCCCGTGGGACACTCACACCTGTCGCCACAGTACACACAGAAATACAGGAAGAGGCACGCAAGAGCTCATCCCGTTAATCCGGTCCGCCAATCTTTTTCACAGCCAAGTCATTACTAGACAAGAATAACCGAAGAAGGATAAGAAGGAAGAAGATTTTGAATTTGTAGGGGCACTTTGTTATGGTTAGAGGCGCCCGCGATGTTTTGTTTCGGGTGGTACCAGGGTCTCTCTTTATGTCTATACCGGTGTTTTTTGAATTTTCCAAATAACAAGAAGTTTGTGCTTATAAGACTACTGTACTTTAAAGACAGTCCAGTTGAATTTGGACATAACAACACTTTAGTCAATGAAGATGATCAAGGCAAATAAACATGATAATGCATTTACCGAAACTGGGTATTTACTGTTCATTCACTTCACTTTGTTCATTCTCGCTCATTCTTATCGAAATTGTTTCCTGATTTTTGTAGCATTTTTTCAAACCATTCAAACTTAGTCAGCTTCTCCATTGGAGAGTCTCCAGCTCATTTATCACCTTCTTTTCTTGGCCACGCCTCCTGCCCTTTCTTCAGCTCTTCCCCCTTTCTTGCCCTCATTCATTAAGCCACGCCCACTCTTCAAACATCTCCCTCCTTTCTATTAAGACCTGTAGTCATTGAACCCCCAATCATGTCCATACGAGTTCATGCATTCAAACAAGCTGTTCTTGAGCTACTTATTGACACCTATTCTCTACAGAAAGGACACCATTCACGCAACGCTGTCGTCGATCACCAGGAGCTTACTGAGAAGCTGAATCGATTGACTAGCAGCAGTTCATTAGGATCCAGTTTGCCTTCATTGAGGTTTGTTTTTTTTTTGGGAAAAAAACCGAATACAATCCCTATAATTTTAAGTTCCCTACACTCGAGCTCGTCGATCGGCACAATGCCGTCGGCGAAGATTGGCGATGGAAGTACATCGAGTCTTCCTCCTGTGATATCTCTCAATAAGCCAATATCAACACAAACCTCCGAATCTCTACCTCCTGATGTTCCAGACATGAGCGAAACTCTTCATAGTAAGAACTCGGTCATAATTTCAACTAATTCAAATTTTCATTTTCAGACAAATCAACGGAAGAGTTTCAAAGGGATTTGGAAAGATGCGGAATGCTGAAAACAAAAAAAGCAGATCTCGAAGCAAGGCTTCGTCAAAAAATGCAGGAATTGAAAGAAGTATGCGTTCAGGAAGGTGACATAACCGGAGAGATGCCGATTGAAATAAACGAGGTCGTTCTCCCGGGAGACGATTTCCCACGACTGAAGCGAAGGGTTGGAACGGCTTATTCGATTCCTGATGAACTGATTAAAATAGACAAGGTAAATATTTTATTCATTTAAGCAGAAAGTGCGGCATAAATAGGATTAGCTCGGGCCACATCATTAGTGTTTGGATCTTCTACGTAGGTTCCTGTGAGACGAACGACGATCAGGAAGTTGAGCATAATTAGAATGACGCCGACAACATGGGTGAAAGAAGAATTGGAGCTGGCACCTGGTCCATCCTCAACCAAATCGTAGATCATGCATTGGAGGGCCACGATAGCATTGATACTGCATAGGAAAAGAGAAAAAAATGATCCAAACGAAACTCCTCCTGAAAATGTTGGATTTATCAATTCTAATGAGTTGGACTTACCAGTCAGGAGGAGCATGCTGAGAGAAACAACAGCAGCACTTCCAACACTCACTCCCACGAGAGCTTTTCTATTGTTGTCGAAATTGTTTCCGATCATCTGGAAATTTGAAAATTAACGTTTCATGTGAAACTATATCTATCAGTTCAGTACATGAGCAGTTAGTCCAACGATGACGGGCATGAAGTAGTTAGGTGGTCCATAATCAGCCAACGAGTAGTGAATATTAGTGATCATCGAGAAGACTCCACATAAGAATGCCCAAACGATCATTGTCACTCGATACTCATAAATTGTGAGTTTTTCTTTCTTGAAAAGAACTGCAATGTTAGCTCCAACGAGTGGAAGGAACAAGTAGGTGAAGGTGAAGACGATGAAACGTCCAAAAACTTCACGAAGGGGATAGTGGAAAATCGAGAGCCCTCCTGTTCGGATTCCCAAAGTAAATGAGGCGAAAAGAATAGTTCGAGCCACATAGAGTCTGAATGAAAACTATGTAAAACTTGTGGAATGATGATACAGTACTCCATGAGAAGGTTTCGTGGAAAATCAACAGGAAGAGGTCTTGTATCGAACACTCTCAGCATGATCTTCTCACATTCTGCCCAGATGATGGCGCCAATTGATTTGGGCTGCTCCTTTTCTCTGTTAGAGAAAAAAACTATAAATTTTCTCAATTCGAAACTCACTCAACACGTTTGACGGTAGAAGTCATTCTCTCTCGAATAGTATCGAATAGAACAAAATAAAAGAGATTCTTGCACAGCGATGAACCCATGAAATAAGATTAGTCAGGCCCCCGTTTCATGAACCGCGCATGTTTCACGTTTGTAATTTCAGGATGACAAAGTGAGTCAAATGGAGACTGATGTCGAATTGCACCGAAGGATCGTGGCGGCTGCTTCTCGATTAGCAACAGACAAAACTATGAATAAATCAGTGCGGAAGAAGAGACAAAAAGATTTACTAGCGGCAAAACAGAAACTGAGCCGACTGGAACAAGGTCTTCAAAGTATTCGGCAATCAGCGAGTAAACCTGATATCAGTAGCCTCACAAGTGATAGTAGCAGTAAGATTAATTTTTGAGAGACTGGTCTCTTCATTAGTTTGCCTTTTTCAGATTCTTGGTCCGCATCAAACTCTTGTGGTCCTATGCTCACTATGGCGATGACGAAGAGCTGTCCTACAACTCCACGTGGCTCTGTACCCGATCTGAGAAACGAGTTGGATGATGAAAAGGATGAATTCGATGAAAATGTGGATGAAAGAGTATCCAGAAGAGCACCGAGGTATGTAATCAGTGGATCAGAATAGAGACAAAATAGCAGAGTGTGATTCTTCCCTTCAAATCATCCCTCAATCTACCTTCTCACTCTTCTTACTTCTCCTTTCCTAATTTTACCCCTTTTCAGCGCGATATCCCGTCACTCCCTTTCCCAACGATACTCTGGAGTATCTTCCTCATCGACAAGTTCTGGATCTGATTCAATGGGTCTTGGATTGCCACCTCGTCCAGTATCCTGCAAATCACAACAACAACAAACGACGCCGTTCGACGATCAGCTAGACAATCCAATGCTCTGTGATGCGATTCCATCGACAAATCCACTGTTAGTACCAACTGTGCCACGTGGCAAAGCCTCATCTAACGGGTCTCGTGTGTTGACTGATTACTATCCGGTCCTAAAGAAAATCAGGACCAATTATTGAATGTTGTCAGCTTATAAACCTATATGTTTCACTTCTTTTTGTTTCTAGGCATGTGCAGATCTAGATAATAATTTAATAATAAATTTTATTTTCGCCCTTCTGCACTGATTCGTTTTTACTAACATTGTTTCTAAAAAGAAAGACGATTACACTATTGACCCAACTCGTACAGCTGATTAAGAACATATAAAAAATCTAGATCGCCAGTTAACCATACCACGGAGCATGAATCCAAATTTTATTTGAATTTTAGTATCTATCAAAAGCCCTTCCCATTTTTTAGAAATTTTTTAAGCGTTAAAATTTCAGCTACGAAAACGTTGGCTACCGATCCACATCCTACCGAAGCAGCTATCGTCAAGCACACTACCCAACAATTCAGGTATTACTGGCTTTTGAATAAATTGTTTACTAATCCAGACATATTTCCAGGATGAGCATACTCAACGAAAACGAGCACAATCTGCACATTCGATAAGTTCGGATAATGGTGCAAATGGAAGAACTTCCACGTATTCAGTTCCATTGAACGACGCGGCTCAGAAATTCAGAGAGTACGATTACGAGGACGAAGAAGACTCGACGCCAACAATGGATCTACCTGGACATCTTATGAATGTCCGCCGTCTGACTTCGTCCATTTCATGCCAGGCTGGATTCGCCACTGCGAGTTTGGATCGACGATACTCGAAAAGCAATGGAGGACGGATGTCGAGCGGATGCCCCGATGATATCCTTCGACAAAATGTTACCACTCGTATCACGACGTTCCCTGTTGCAACACCAGTGGCTACCGTAGTCTTGTCTGGGTGAGGAGTGTTTTGGTTTTTAGATTTTCGTGTTGAATTATTGTTGTAAACATGAATTCTTCATATGAAGATGATGATAGGGGAAAAACCAATGTGTGATTTAACGAAGATAAACTGCTGATATGTTTTTTATGACAATGATAGACATACTTTGACCCTAATCAAAAATAGTTTTCAAACATGTTTTTTTTTCAGAAAACCATATTCATCATCCGAACTTCCTCGGTTTCAACCTCCACCGCCTGTCGCTCGTGTCACACATTTGCCACGTGGATCTCTGCCACCGTACTCGTCTTCAATTCAATCGCCACTTTCGAATGGAATAACTCCACCAAGTGGAAAATTGTCGACAAATCCTCAAATGGAAGCATTATTGTCCTATTACAAACAACAACAACAGCAGCAGCAGTCACAGCCACGGTCAAATGCATCGCAACAGCAGAAGACAGCGACGATTGTCTAGAATATTTAGTTTTGATGATTTAAGATTTTTCTGTATTTTACTTTGTTCTAGGTATCCGTTGCCCCTCCCAATTATGTCAGCTTACCCGAATTCTATGGTCATATGTTCTTCTCTGTGAATTTTTTGGTATCCGGTGTGATATATTCCATCTCTTATTTAAGAATTTCCCATTCTTTTACTCACCACTTTTCATTATTTCTCGCATCCAAATGTGATATTTCTATTTCACTTATGCCCAAAACGAGGCAAAACGGGTCTTCTCAAAATCCTTCTCGTTTGTTTCAGTTCCCGCCTTTTCTCTCTTGTCTCTTAAAATAAGAGAATACGATTTCAGTTCTCGAACCCCATATTGAGCGAGTATTTATTCATGTAAATGTATCCTTTGTCAAAATTAAAATGAAGTTTTTATTATTAAATACATTATTGCAGCAAAAAAAAAAACATATCCTGACTTGTACAAGTTCCTTGTCAAATACCTGGTAAAGCAGAACCGGTTTACCACTAGTGGTTACCGAAAAGAATTGACGTCTTCTTTTGTTGTGTTCCTCAGCAATTCCGCTGAAATACCCTTAGAAATTCGTTTAGTCGGTCTATATGAAACTGGAAGCGGCAGAAAATTTCTCAAAAAGCGAATTCCTTCTTTGCGCAGATATCTTTTCTACCTGTCTGGTGAAGGACAAGCAGGCTGAAACTCGACATCGTAGGAAAAAAATCCACGTTATCTCTTCAAATCGACCCGATAGGATCAGCGCCTTCTCTTACTGTCCGTCTTTTCTAAGCACTCGCGCGCGCGGCGCCGACGAAAAACCATTGTTTTCGTCTTCCCAGTCGTTTTAGATTTTCTTTCCAAAAGCAGACACCCAATCTCTTCTTATTTTCTCTTCAATAATCAGCTGTGCTCAGTTGCGAGCGAGCACTTTTTCGTATACTTCTTGCTCTCCGCCTCCCCGTCGTCTTATCGATTTTTGAAAATTTTGAAAAGTCCAAAATCGTTTCTTATGAAGAGTTTCATAAATAGCTTTTCTGGTGATCACCGGGAAATGCAAATACTTCAGCTAACCTTTCACAGAAGCCAGAATGAACCACCTTTAAAAGATTTTTTCAAATGGTCTCGCACCGAAAATACAAAAGTTTCTTATTTCTGTCTGTGAGCCTTTAATTTTTACTACGGTAGCTTTTTTGCGGGTTTATTTTATCTTGCGTTTTCAATTGTATAAATAGGAATTCTCCTGTTTTCGGCTTGAAAACGCCCATTTTTTTTTCAGTTCGTGGGAAACTCTGACGAAATTTCTATCACGTTTGACATATTACTATGTTGTGAAATACATTCCTCTCGTGACTCTTTGAGCCGTTTTCCTCTTCTCCAAACAATTCAATCTCATTCTAACGGTTGAGAGATTCCGAATAGGGATGTTGCCGTATCACGTAAACAAAGTGGTTCCCCTATATTTCACATAAACCCGCAATTACGGCTGAGCCCTGTGCCATCTGCCGTATGTTTCTTCATCATCCTCGTCCTCAATCTCACCAAAACACCTCCTTCTCAATATCTCTTCATCTCTATGCGAATGCATCTTTTCCGAATTTTGCTTTATTTTCTCCTTTTTCTCTTTTTTTGTTTTTTATCCTTTTTCTCTCTCAAAAATGACGAATTCAGTTTCTCTTCTTTTCTATCGGCTCTCTATAGCTATCTTTGTTATTCAATTAGATTCGTAAGCCTTTCTGTTCTTAGCATGTGGACACAATCAAAGTGGTACTTTATATTTTGTACTATTCCTGTCATTTATTCATGTGGAAGTATCCCAAGATTTTTCTATTTTTCATATACTTTTCCCTGCACCTACAACGCTTCACTGTTTCTTTAAGTTTTTCAGTTCCCTGTACTTTGCAAAACTGTTATGTCATGTGATTTGCTTGTTTTGATGTTGTAAAACTCCTCAATGTGTGCATTCGTATTTGTAGTTCTACTCCAATAACTTTGCTTTTTTCGCCCACCAACTTTGCTACCGCCGCAGAGTAAAGTATGTGTTGCACTGCTGTCCCTGACAGCTGCTCAAATGCTCAATGGTTCCACGACATTTCCCCTCTCTCTATCCCTCATCTTATAATAGTGGTTCACAGTTTGGGCACCCAGCGCCGCCCTAATTTTTCGCACATGCCTGTCTGCGAGGAGGAGGCGACCGACGACCTGGCGAACCGTCCGATCACCCCATTCCAAGCCGAAGTGGGCGTATCACATTGACATTCCATGACAATCGTTTCAAACTTTTACGATCATATGTGTTGCTGCTCATCATTACTTCCTCTCAAATTACTCTCCCCGCTGCTTGTTGTCTACCACATTTTGGCCTTTCATTTACTGAACAAATATTAGAGTTCGCCAACGCGATTTATCATTCGACCGATTTATCAGTTTACTCTCCTTGCGGTCTCTTTTGGGATACACGCCAGCACCTTGTAAATAGTTGTACAGCAAGAACGGAACTCCTCCTGGGGCATACACCATTAATTCAGTATAACCAAAATAGGAAAAGTCTGCCTAGTTTCCGATTCCGACCTCAATCCTTTTTTGCTGGGCGCCGGAGACAACATGACGAATTGAGAGGGAGAGCGACGCGACGCTCGCAATACTTTTCCGCCGATGAATGACTCATCCCATCTTTTTCTGATACTCCAATCTCTCTCGTTTTGATTTTTTTTTTCCATCGCCTGATTTCTGAAAAAAAGGCTTCTGCATTTCACAATAACATTGCAACTATGATATTTTAATACTGATCCGAGCGAAATTACTAGCAACTGACACAACCACCTCCCGTTTTCCTGTTTTTTTCACTCGTTTGTTCTCTTTTCTCATATAGAATGCGACGTCGTCTCGTCATTAGTTTTTGATCATTCGACTGTGTTTTTTTCTAACAAACAAAAAGAAAGTTCGAAGAAGTAAGGGCAATCAACAGGACAGTGTTAATTTTATCATCCATTATGATAGTTATTCGATTCCTTTTTCATTGAAAAGATCTAACATTAAAAACAATTTCCCAAGAAGCTTTTTTTCATGGGCATCCCCTCATCACTGCGATTTTTTCGGAACGCCATTCAAATGCGCTCGAATGCTAATTTTTTCAAATAGGCGTTGGTCTCGACGCAAAAGCTTTTCATTGAGCTGCCGAGTCTTACGGCTTCGTGTCTGCATTCGAGCGGAAAGTTTTGATTTTAAAAAACGTTCCGGAAAAATCACCGCGCCTCGTCAACTGACAAATTCAAAAAAAAAGTAGGAGTTTCTATTTCAGATGGTCCCTTTTCAAACGTTTGATAAGAATTGAGTTCAAAGATCATTGGAACAATTGTCGTTTCTTTTCTTTGTGTCAATCGTTCTCGACGTCCTCTTGACGCTTCAGTTAGCGCAAACTGTGTTTGTCCAACATAACTTTTTTTAAAATTCTAAATTTTCATTATATTTCCCTATCTTTCATGAATTCTACTCTTCAATCTGAACGTCTTCATCCCTACGGACCCTTCCGTCCAAACTACAGAAATGTTTCTTCCCATTCGAATTTCTGCTCTCTGCGTCTCGTTGTCCCTTCTCGGGTGTCCTAGAGCCCTAACCCCACCTCCTTTTCCCCTATTCTTCATCTTTCCCATCGTCGTTCATTCCAAAATGTACCCTCTTTCTAGCCGGACGAGCACAAAAATGGCGGAGGCACTGACGAGGTGGCAGGAGGGATTAAACCGTATTCAATCGGCACCATTTCACTTATTCACAGTCGACAACAACTCGGATGTAGGAGTGCCAAGTGAGTTTTCACTCTGAATTTTCTGCAACTGTCAAAATATTCAGGTGCTGTTGGTGCTGAACTCTACGCACCTTCGTACTGGGGATTCATCAACTCCATCTTTCTACCAACAGTCGTTTTCTACACAATGCTCTGGTTCGCTGTTTATGCATGTGTTCAATACAACTGCTGGTTGAGCTGGCAAGAAGGAATTAAAAGAAAACGTCTTCTGAATCTGACGACTTCCCTCATTCATTCGACGGTAGGTACTCTCCTTCTTTTTGTGACGTAAATACAGATGGCTGATCTTTCTTTCATTAATTTTTGAGCAGTTGCTTGAGAAACTTTTGAAAGTGATGTGAAATTTGAGAAAAGAGGTCCGCGAGGAGTCTGTAAAAGAGAGAAGAGAGAGACAACAAAATCCAATGAACCAACATGACGTTGTGGTGCAAAAGCCGTCCCATGTTCATTTACATGCTAATTCAGAAAATAAGAAGAAGAATAGGAATACCAGGAAATAGAAAGAATAGGTGTCTTTGGGATGAGGAATATACTGGAAGATCATTGACCAAATAGACTTTATAATGAGGGAATGTAATTTCAGATCTCGGGTCTCTATCTGTTTGCCTTCTTCTGCTATAATACAAAGTTGATGTTCGCTGCTCCACTTCATTATTACTCTTATCTCGACTCACAAATAATCACTCTTTCAATCGGATACTTTTTCTACGATGGAATCGATCTTGTTTTGAATGATAAGTGAGTTGACCTCCTTTGCAACAATCAAATCTTCTAAATCCTATTTTTCAGACTTTCCATTTCAACTGGTGTACTTCTTTTCCATCATGTTGCCTCCATTTATGTACTTTCTACTGCTGTACTTTCCAAGAAATTTCTCTTATACGCCTACTGGGCAATGCTCATGGAGGTCTCTTCAATCTTCCTACACACCAGATCAATCCTTCACATTTCCAAATTGTCCACCACTTCGATGATTGGATTCTCGAAAGTTATATCGTATTTGAATCTGTTCAGTTTCATCATTTTCCGTGGATTCGTTCAATTCTTCCTCTTCGGATGGGCCTGGGTGAACTATGATCACATTCACTTGTTAGTTTATTCAATTTCTTTTTCTCAACTTTTGTTTTCTATCCTTTGTCCTTTTACAGCGTCTACAAGTGCATCGCTTTCGGTGGAGGCTTCTGTTTCGCCGTCATCAACGTCAGTTTACTTCTCCGTATTTTGCACTCTGATGGATTCTTGCTCTCATCTGTTGTTTCCCAAGGTAATTTATTCAATTTATTCTGAATTGTTTTACATCCCTTGTTGAAAGACGGAGTATCTAGAAATTATTCAGGAACTAATTTGTTCTCAGCTCTTAAGATTCAAATTGCAGATCGTTTGGACGCCCTCCTGGAGGACAACGAGTACAGCAACTCGTCGGAAAGTGTGGCCAAGTCGGAAAAGAAGGAGCTTCTTGATGTTTAGACGACGATTATTTTGATAATAATTCATAACCCGCGCCTCCAATCCATTCTCTATGCCATATTTCGGGTCTTTTTCTATGTTCGTTCCGTGCTCCAATATGATCAACATCCTTTTCCTTTTTTCACAAATTCTCACCAACATCTTCACAAAGTGTTTTATCCGTATTCTTTTTCTAGAGGTCCCTCCCTCATATCACAAGGCTTTACAGTGTTTGTACAAGCATCACGATCATTTCCCTCCTTTTTTTTCCTTTCTATCCTCATTCATATTCTTCCAAGAACATAATGATACAATTAACAAAATCATCGAATATATGTGATATTTGAAACTTAGTTTGTCTCTTCTTCTTCAATTACGGTCAATTCTAAATAAACCCCATTCGAACTTTTCAAACCATCTCTTTCTCGCATAACCTATCTTTTTTCGTGTCTTTTTCATTTTTGAAGGTATCCGCTGGGATCTCTTCAATCAGCGCACTATTTCCTACTCGATACACAAACAGCATTCATTTTGAGATGCGCCACCCGACGACCCCGAGAGAGGAAAAAAAGACAAATTCCGGTTTTCGAGTTTTTTTGGTCTCGCTCTCTCCTCAATTGTCGTCTTTTTACTCGGGTTTTTTTTCTCAAAAACGTTTCGATAGGCTCATCGTTTCCTCGAATTCAAATTTCCGGATCTCGTTAAATTGGGCGGAAATGTAATTTCGAAAAATCAACTGGATATTTTTTTTCAGTAATAAAGGAATCGGGTGAATTCCAAGAGGAAAAGATACATAAAGAGGGGATATCAAGGGATTTTCAACGATTCACATAAAACTATGTTCTTATTCTTATTCTTATTTTTTCTACTTCAGAATCTTTCATCTTTTCCGCTGACGTCTACTCTCGATTGTTTTCTTTTCCTTCTTCTACCTTCTCTTATCCCCAACGTCATTTTTCTGTGCCACTCCATGTCTGAAATTGAAAGAGACTACAATCCCGAAGGAAATGTCAATTTGAATCTTCTAGATTTTCAACTCATTTCCTCTTTTGCCGCATCCTCTTCCTGATTTATTATTTCCGATGAATGCGAGCCAAAATCTTGGACCAACGAGGTCTTTTCAGATGTCTTCAAAAAATGTCTGAAAAATTTTTTAATATTGATTCGTTTTGAAATTGTCCATTCAAGGATTGAGGATTTTTTGCAGGATTCAGAGCATTTCGCTTTTATTAAAATCTCAAGTCACTTCCAAAGAAATTAGAATTTTCCAGAGATTCCAAGAAAAAACCTCAAATTCTTATTCTTGTACAAAATAAACGGATCTGTGGAAGAGAAACGCCGGTGGCAGTGGCGGAAGGTCCCGCAAAGAAACCTAAAATATGCTTTATTTCTGGATCCATTATCTCGATTTTCGTGCATTTTTAGTTAATTTTTTGCACTTTTTATTAACAAAAATTCTAATTTGCCGACTTTTTTGCGGAAAAACAATGGAAAAATCGGCGAAAATCAGTAAAAAAACGAGAAAGTAAATACGGTGAAAACATTTTTATGTTACGGTAGGTAGCTGCCGTTGACCTTCGGCCACGGCCACCGGTGTTTCTCTTCCACAGATCCGATTTTTTTTGGTACCAGAATAATATGTCATTTTGAAATTCTCCATTTTCGATATTATTTTCTCAAAGTTTCAGCTATTTCAGATCATTTTGCTTTTTTAAAAATCTCAAAATATCTTCCAAAGAAATTAGAATTTTCCAGAGGAAATCGTATTTCTTCAATCTGTTTTGAGGTCACATTTCCTATTCCCAGATGCCAAAAAACAATAAAAGTACTTTCTCTTATCATGTTTCTCCTCTAATTATCAATTCTTGATAATGAGTTTCAAATCACATGTTCTTCCAGAAATAGCCTCAACATGTTGACTTTTTTCCAGAATCGATTCGTGATTTCCTTTTCTCAGATGACTCAACTCTGTGAATGAGTCAATGTTGATCCAAAAATTTTTTATCATTTTATCATTTCCTCCCAAAAAATCATTCGTTTTTATAAATACTATAAAAGTTTATACAAAAGAAATATTTCTTGTTTGTTTTGAGTGCACTTTGCTGAGAGAGAGAGAGATAGCCTCTTCACCCAATTAGTTTGTCAAGAGAGAAAGAGATGTGACACATTTTGTTTCTTCTTCTTCTTTCTTTTATCCTTCATCTACTCCTTTCATCTCTATTTCTCTTAATTATTCTCAATATTTCTTTCTGTGCTCCGGGGTCGAAATTATAAATTGGCTTCATTTCGCTACCCAGAGGTCCTTCGTTTTGCACCCATTTCCATGTTCTTCCTGTTTTCTATTCTCAATGAAAAAAAGAGAATGAAAAACATAAAAGAAGAAAAAGAAGAAGACGCAGAAGCAGAGGAATTCTCTCTCGTCTCAAATACTATCTATTTTTATGGTGTTGATAAATGTAAAGTGGTTTTTCGATTTGACCTTTCCGCAAGTGGACAGCCAAATTATCTGACTCATTTCCGTTGATTGTAATGCTTTAAGGGTGTAGTTTTGGTTTCAAAGACGGGGTTATTTAAGATTTTTGAACTCTTTATTGTTTTCTAGTCATACATTCTGAGTCTGTAACGTAAATTTAGTATGAAATTGAATTGCGCCGAAGTCGCAGCAGTCAGGAGTTTGGTTTAGCATAAAACGAGAACCTTAATACCGTAAAAACTGTAATAGAAGGGTAGTCTAACTTTGAGCCAATTTATCTCGGTTCTTGTCAAAGATATAAAAATTTGTCAACTGACAAAATTTTTTTGATAATATGCTAAACATTTTATTAGTGGACACGCTTTTCCTAGTCCTAACAGTAATCGAGCTGAATTAGGTCAAAGTGGGCAGTGTGAGGGCCATTACAGGGTGTACGGTAATACCCTTGGCTTTATTGGATCTCCTTTTTTCAAATTGATAATGTTTGAGGAAATCGTTACATCCCTTTTTTCATTGTATCATATGAATCAGCAACGACTTCATACAATAAAAGAATTCTTGCGAGATACTACAAAATTTCAGACTTTTTTGTGGTGACAATTTAACGAGAAAAAGAATCTAGAATTTTTCAGACTTCAGTAGATGAAAAAATCAGTTGATCCTTGTTTTTTTAGCAGCACGTCTTCTATTTTCAATTTTTAAATTTTTGAAATATTTTCTAAACCAAATGGAGACTAAATTTCCTTTTTCTGTGATTTCCAAATTTGAAAAAAAAATGGATTTTTTCGCAATTTCGTTTTTTCTTCCTTTTCCCCATTCCTTATTCCTTTTTTCTGGATTTTCGATGTTTTCATTATTTTCATCTCTGCTGGAATAGTACACCTTTCATAAAACTTTTGTTAGTATCTCAATCAAATGCTCTAACTAAAACTATATCAAAATTAAAATATCCTCCAAAAATCTAATCAACTTTCTGATCGGAAAATACATAGCGTATTTCCGCTAATAGAAGCCCACCCAAATCATCAACTTTGAGCTCAATTATCTCAATTCCTGTGAAAGATATCAAAAATGTGTCAACTGATAAAATGTAGGTGATATTATAAGAATCATAATATCAATTGACAAGTTGTTCATATCCTTCATAGGAATCGAGATATTTGAGCTCAATGTTGACGGTTTCAGTGGGCTTCTATTAGCACTCCGCTCATCTCTGCTCTGGGTTACTGTTGTATTAGTTTTTTCTTTTTTTTTCTGGTATTTTAAACCTTCCATATAACTTTTTTGAAATCTTAATTCAAGTATTCTAACTGAAACTATGAGAATCAGAATAGCCTCGAAAAATCTATTCAACTTTCTGATAAAAAAGTACATAACGTATTTCCTCAACTTTGAGCTCAATTATCTCGGCTCTTGTAAAAGATATCAAAAACCAGTTAACTGATAAAATATTGATGACAATATGATAAAAATTTGTCAGTTGACAATGTTTTCATACAGGAATCGAGAAAATTGAGCTCAAAGTTGATGGTTTGTTAGGACTTCCTTAAGAGGAAGTACGGTATAACAATTTCTAAGTAGAGATTCCTGACAAATCTATTCAACCTATAGTCCCACTAGCCTACCGTACCTCATCTATCGCAAGACACATTTCTGATTTTACTTTCGGCTTCCAATCATTCTTCTCTCGAAACAATTTCACTTGTTCTCGTGATTCACAAAATTTTCGTCTTTCATCTTCTGTGTTTTTTCTTATGTCGTGTTTTCTTATTGTTCGTCACTTCTTCTTCCTTCGAAAAGAAGGAAACATTGTTCGAGACGTTTTTCTTCGTATTTCATCAACTTTTTACGTCAAAGAGGAACTGAATCATGCATGAGCCTACGAGAGAAAAAAACTGAAAACTAATAAACTCGTTCTCTCATCAAAACACCTGTATAACAACCCAACACACAACAAAAAACAGAGGAGACAACTGATTTCGTACTGCTTTTCATCCATCCCACACAAATATAAAACAAAAAAACAAAACAGTGTACCTTCCCTTGGGAACTTTCTCTTCCTCTTCTCCCAATCTATCCGTTTTTGTTATGTATCAGTTTTTTCTCTTGTCTCAACTACTCTTCTTCTTCTTCTTCTTTTCATTTCTTCTCATCATAAAATATCAGTTTCATCGTTTCGTGTCGCTTCCAAAAAAATGTTTCATTTATTCTTCTTTTTTTTCAGACAGGCTTAAAAAGAGAAGCTGTGGGCTTGTAGAAGCGTCTGCGTCTCTCCACGTCTTCTCTTCTAGACACTGCATCTCTCGGGTCGTCGTCCGGGGCGTCGTTTGTGCTCATTTCATTTTCTTCGTTTTGCTCGACTGACCCACAAGTCGGTGGCCGTGGCGGGGCCTCCCGCACTCACAAACTCGAACGGAACGCCGAAACGAAAAGAGTAACGGAGAGGAGTTTTGAGTGAATCGCCGAATGGCGTATTCGCGTATTGCTCGATGCATCGCCACTTTTACTAATCTTATCTTCTTATCCATAGCTGTTTCTCTTCTTTTAATTACTCTTCTATCTGCATTTAATCCACCGAAACCTGTAGTTTCACCAGAAAGAGTCAACGAATATCCACAGGTATTTTTTTTGGTTTTCGAGTTACTTCAAAAATATTTGAATTTCAGTTTATCGTAACTCTTCTTCTAATCGGATCCTATTCAACATTCCTATTTGTTTTGTCTCTTCTTGGACTCGTTTCGTTATGTTTTCTCAACTCCATTCTTCTTTTCGTGGTAAGTCTAGAAGGGAACGACAATTTTTGTTGTTTTTGTATTTAAATGTTCGCAAAGTTATGTTTTTTTTACAATACTAGTCCAAAAAAGTCCTGAAAACAATCTCTGAAAATGGTGTTGTAAATGCAAGTTTTAAGAAAAAATTGGACTCCTCTAATAGAAGCCCATCCAAACCGTCAACTTTGAGTTCAATTATCTCGATCTATGTGAATGATATCGAAAACTTGTCAACTGATAAAATATTGATGAGAATATGGTTAACAATTTATCAGTTGACAATTTTCTCATATCTTTCACAGGAATCAAAGTAATTTATCTCAAAGTTGACGGTTTCGATGGGCTTCTATTAGAGGAAATACGGTAATTGAAAATCCGATGAAGAGGACGAAAAAGTCTCTTCGATTTTGCAAATTGATGAAAAATTGTATTGAAAGCAACTTGGACAAGTACTGCCGGTGTTTTCAGTAGTTTCGAAATTCGAATTAGAAAAAAAAATTCGCAATAATTTTAGGAAAATAAAAAACTTTAAAAACATTTAAATTCAATAAACATTTTGGTTACAGTCCCTTAAATGAAAATTTTGAACAAATGGAAACATATTTTATAAGTATTAGAAATTCTCAATATAAATATGAATTTTTCAGTTCATTCTCGGCCAAGTTGCAATGATGTTCATCGTTGGAATTTCCTTTGCTTTCACATTGACCGTAAGAAAAAGAGTAAGTAACCCAATCCAAATTATGTGTTTCAAAATAAATTATTCCAGCTACACATGAAGCTGGAAGATATTTGGAAAAATAAGCCCAACTGCCTAGAAGGTCAGCCATGCATTCCACTGGATATGTTCAGGAGTTCAGAGAGTCTTCTTATTGTTTTCTTGCTCATTTTCTTTGCGATTCAGGTGAAATTGTGTAAATGATTGGTTCAATTTTGAAGTCCTTAAATTTCAGATTATCCAACTCATAGCTAGTTGGTACCTATGTGAACGAAGATCGAGTCAAGAGAAATACAAGTTACAATTACAAAAAGCAGACGAAGATGACGAGTAACTCTAACATTTCTTTAGTTGTAATATTCATGTATCAGTCTTTTTCTAGCTGTTACTTGTTTGATTGTTAATTTGTTTTTTGCCAATCTGCCATTTCTTCTTAAACAGGTTTCACCTCCCAGTTCGCAACCAACTTCAATCGATTTCTTTCCGGGCTTACAATCCTTTTTTCACTTTTGTCTATTAACCTCTCAAAACTCATAATACAATATGATCAAATCATAATAACTATCGCATTTTGTTCTTCTCTGGACCAACCTATTTTTCTCTATGTGCCTTATTTAGACCGATTATTGAATTTTATGATTTTCTAACGTGTTTCTTTTTTGTTCAACGGTTTGATAAATTTTCAGATTTTCTGAATTCACAAAACGCTTTGAATTTACAATTTCAAATTTCTGACTGAGATTTCTATTTATAGAATTGACATCCTAAACAACTTTGTCTGTAAAGCACTCATGAGAAATTTCAGATTTTGGGAGATTCTGAAACTTCCGGTTTTTTGATTTTTCAGAGAGGATTTCCAATTACATCTTATGGACTACGCTCGAAGCATCGGTTTCGAGAAGGGCAACGATCGATTGAGCAAGTTTTTCGCTGAAAAAATATTGGATTTCATTTCAATTGAGTGAAAAAACTAACGCAATTTTCGGCTCGCATCTTCTGAGAACGTTGGCAATAGCAACTGAGAATCCAACATACTCATCATCTTTCTTATCTTCATTCTTGAGTTTTGCGATAGTTTGCTTCAGATCCAATTGTCTCGGGAGTGTCTGCAGAGAAATTGAGAAAATTAGAAAAGGAGTTTTAGAAAACGAACCTCTTCTTCAGTTTTCACCTTTTGAATCTTCTTGATTCCCAATGGCTTGAAGCTTTTACAGTTCTGGTCGAGGAGACCACTCAGCTGTCTTTCTTTTAAATTATCAATGGACCAGTTTGATTTCACATTTTGATTGAAACTCGGTGGAAGTGGGCACACTTCAGAAGACTTTGTCCTGAATCAAATTCTTTTATTTTGAAAAAAAAACTATTTCTTTCAACTCACGATGAGAAGTTCAAGATAATTCGACCCGGTGTAGTCTCGATTTGATCCAAGAGTTCCGTTGCAAGTTGTTTTGTAGTTTCGTCCGTGACTGAAAATTTCGAGAAGCATTATATTGATAATGGAAATGTAGTTTAATCAAACAACAGTTTTTAGTTGACTGCTTATGAATAAGGTAAATGGTTTTTAGCTGGTAATCAGGTTTTTTTATTATCAAATTGATTAGATATTCTCTAACTACAAACCTTCTTAAAATTTACTTTTTCAACACTGATAAAAACTCACTATCTTCTGCACCCCGTTCTATTTTCGCCTTCTTCTTAGGTACAGTGGATGCTGTTTTTTGTCGTTTCTTAGATTCATTCGCAACAGGAGCTAGTGGTTGTAGGTCGACACCCCAGCTTTCTGAAACATAGCACCACATGAATGGATTCCTGATTCTCACAAACCTCTGGTAACCACCGCTTCCTCTTTATATCCGAACAGTTTATCCATCGATACTTTTTTCCGACGCATTATTTCAATCTGAAAAAAGGTTGGTTAGAGAGAAGCGCATGGCAAAGGGATATTTCGCAAAAGCTGCCAAAATCGTTTTCGGAATAAATACTTTAACTATCTCGGCTGTTGCCCGCAACTTTTAGGCTGGATTTAAGCGGCTTCTAAGCTGTCGCAGGGCGGATGTCGCTTTAGTTTTCTGTAGAAGCCGCCCAGCGACCGCTCTAAAGACGCCAAGCCTACGCTCAAGATTCGCGTAGCTCATACTGAATCTGACCATAGGCTCTAAAAAACTGAAACTTCTGTCGAAATCATTTTATAAACTTTATTTATTTTTATAAACGAATATCTAACAGAAGAAAGGAAAATAATAAATAGATGTACTGTTTTGATATCAACATATATTGTCTGAAATCAAAAACCTAGACGAAATTTGTAGGTCAATCATGTTCATCTCCATTTGAATAAGTTACAGATAAATGAATAAATATGCATATTTCACAAGAAAATTAGTAACTCCAATAAATTAATAACTAGTCAATGGCACATAGAACGCGAAAGGGGACGGATCAGGAGAGAAATCACAAACAAATTCGATGGGATAGGAGACAGAAACGGGTGGAAATGGGATTAATGAGTGCAATTCTTCAGAAAGTTTCTGTGTCGTCAAGGTTGGCTGGAAGAGTGTCTCTGTGTTGCGAACTATCGGCGCCGTTCTCTGTTGGTTCCACTTCATGTTCGCCTTCTTCGTTCGACTGATACAGAACGGCTTTGAGAGCTTCGACATCGATTGTGGTGGATTTCAGTTCATCGGCTTCATGAACGAGTCCTTCGACCCGTTGCAGCATCGAGTAGTAAAACTCGCGTTCCGATTCCATCTCATTAGCCATCATCTCCCAGTCAGCAGCCAATGACTTTTGCTTTTCGATTTCTGAAATTTTATTCTTGGGTCAAAAAATCTATATCTATTATTACCCTGCTTCAGAAGCTCCTCGTTTTCTGATGGCTCAGAACGTCGAGTGCCTGCTGACGTCACTGGAGCTGGACGAGCACCATTGCGTACAGTTGGGGCAACGGATGCTTTTGCAGTAGCATTTGGCGCAGCTGCGGTGGCGACAGTCTTCGGTTTGGCAACAGGAGCAGCAGTTGGGCGCACAGCAGCGACAACTGGACGGGCGCCTGAAGATCCTTTCAGTGCAGGCAGATCTTCGTTGAAGCGAGCTCCAACTGCGTCGTAGTCTTCGGCATCCCCCACCAAATTAGCGTTGAAGAACTGCAATAAAATAAAATTGAGTTTACGGATACATTCGGAGTATCAAACTTTGTAAAACCATTGCAGGAACTCCATATTGTCCTGGAATTTCGCTCTTTTCATCTTCTCAACATCCACTGGCTTATCGATTCCTAAATTTTTCCAGGCTGTTGTGAGGACTTTCCAGTTTGTGAGGATATCCGGTTCACTCTTTGGGTTGAACTTCACTTTTCGCAAGTTGATGGAGTTTTCGAACAATAGGTGTGTTAGCTGACAGTATGCAGCACCTGAAGCCATTTCTTCAACCTTCGTGAAGTGACTCTGAAATAATAAACATATTTTCAATGCTTTCGAATTAGTTAACCTTGAGCAGGTTGTTAACCCAGGCGACAGCATCTTTCCGGCTGAGTGTGTCGGTGGTTACAGCGCTGATGAAGACGTTGACCACCATTTTTCTTTCTGGAAAATCGTGATTGAGAACAAATCGATGAAGAAGGGTAAGCATTAGCTGCAGAGACAAGAATAAAATCGCATGGTCGCCAGGTCCGCTGCGCGAGCGCTAAACAGAAACGCTATTTAATAGGGATACACAGACAGCGAGACAAAAGGAACGCGGGAACGAATAATTCTAAATGCAGATAGGCTTACATTAAGACATTAGTAAAAAAAAAGTGAAGTGTTCAAGATACTGAAGCAGAGAAACAAATTTTTCTGGAAACGACTCCAACAACAATATGTTCCGCAAGCATTCTATTTTGCAGGCATATAGCCTTAGTACGGCCCCTTGAGACACGATAACCTAAAGAGAGAAAGAGACAACAAAACACAGAATTTAAGACACCGATTTATTACTTATAAATGCCTACAACGATACACCTGAAAGAATCCGGCCACGGATTCTTTCTGCCGACAAGAAAAATTACACCAGAATAATATTATATAAAAAATATAGGTAAAAATAGGAACGAGAAACATGGGTTTTGGGGGAGACACGAGAATGACTCAAGAGTCTAAATTGATCCCAAAAGCGGGCGCATTTCCTTGGTTCGCGTTGAGAGTTAGATGTGCAGGGTACAGTAATCCTCAAATTGGCGGGTGATTCAAATCGGCATTGTTGTGGGCGGCGTCGGCGTTGGTGAATATAATTACATAAAATACAGGGAATAAAAGAAGAATTCATTGAAAAGGAGAAAAAGTCGTGAAGAGGTGATATTCGGTCACCTGAATTCGCGACACTGCCAGGGCCAGCCTTTTTTTTCTCATCTTGAGTATCTGGTCCATTCCTGGTCTTAAGGCACTGCCCAACTCTTTCTCCTTCATCTTCCTATTTTTTCTTTACTGTCTAGATCTCCAATTTCTGTATTTTCACAATCACCATATGTGATTCTTTGTTTTGCTTTTCGATCTGGTTTTCCTACTTCTTCCTTCCTTCATTTAAATATTCCACTTTCCTTATTCTTTTTCTGTGGTTCTGGTTCAGTGGTTTTTTCTTCATTTTGCTCTGCCGGCTCATCAGCGGTTTCTTCCTTTACTATTTCAAATGGAATTAAATGGTTTACTGATCTCAGTACTTCCATTTCACAATACTTCACTGTTGCCGTCCTGATTTGACCTTGTTCATTAAGATGAACTTGTATCTTGGACATCAGCCACTTGTGCTTCGACCTCAATCGTTACTCCATTGGTACTATCTGTCCAATTTTGGCTGAGTTGTAGAATAATGTTTCTTCTTCTTCTTTGATTCTTTCAATTGGGTAAGATACATGTCTTCCCATTTCAATCTTTAAATTTCTAATACGTCTGTTAAGATCAGACGAGCGTAGCCTTGTCTTTCTTTCTGTTGTTCTTTTTCCTGTCTCAGCCCAGATTGAATAAACAATCTCAATCTTACTGTAATAGGAGGTACCCCTCCAAGAGCATCATAATCTTGACAAGAGCTGATTGTAATTTCCTTGTTGTAGGAACGACTTCTGGCGGTGTTAGTGACATAGTCAACAAATCCTTCCTTGAACCAATTAACATTCCTTGCATCTTATTTAGCTTATCTGGTGCTCTGTCATCAATAGGAATCTTATATCCTATATTCACTGAATTCTCTTGGGTTTTGTGCAAACTCATTCCGCATTGGGCTCCTGCTCTTTCCTATTCATACAATTCTGGAAACTCTTCTTCTGTATTTGCCAAAATACTAACTTGTTTACATACAAGTTTTCTTCATTTTCTTGATTAATCTCTGCATGATATCTTTCCATATAAATTAGGGTGAACTAACGAGAGCATAACATTTCAATTGGTTACCTGAAACCTACAAGGTAAGAAATTTTCTTAACTGTCTCTTCTTCCAATCTTTCAGCCACACGAATCTCATGTATTATTTGTCTTCTTTCTGCAGTCTGATCAGGTTGAATGTTTTTTTTTGAAATCAATGGTATCGTTGAACTTTCCTGTTCTACTTCTCAATCCAATGGCCATAAACAGATTCATGAATTTACTTTTCTGATACATTGATTCAACGTTAAATTTTCTACTTCGTGGCTGCTTGTATCTGCTCTTCTTTTACTCCTCTTCTCTAGGACCGTTCTCCTCAACTATTGAATCTAATAGCAGTTTTAGGAATATAATAGCAGTTTTATTTAATACTTCATTCACAGATTTTCCACTGATTTAAGAGTTCCATTGTTTGTTAATAATCTTATATTCTTCTGAAATTCTAGAGGTACATTAATTTTCCAACTTGGTTGGTTAACCTTTTCAAATCCACTGGCAGCTTACCAGTCAAATGCTCATCGTTATCACTCAATGGTAGTTTGACCAGTATTTGGCTCTCTTTCCATTATGACACCTTCTTGGATTCCTCCATAGATTCTTCAATTTTGGACACATCTTCTTCTTCCAACTCTTTCTCTTTAATGCCAATATCGACTGAATTTCTTCTTCTCCTTTATCCTCACCCTAACATAGACAATTCATGGACTCTTCTTCATCTTCACAATCGAACGCTTATTATCTTCTTGTTCTTCCGCATGATTATTACAATCAAATGTGGCTGGAATCCCTAACTTTACAGACTATGCTCTTTTATTCTTCAAATTTTCTGTACCCTGCTGTTTTCAGAAATCCCAGATCACGCCTGTACCAATTATCCTGTCAATTATCTCTCTATTTCTCCGTTCTAGTTTTCTTAATCATTCTGTATCTATTCCAATTTCATCTAATTTTCAACTTTCTTTCTCTGACAATGGTGGTACATAGATATTTGTATTCAGCTTACTGTAGCTTCTGGAACCTATTACTCTTCTTTGTATAACAACGTTGAGGCATTTGTCTCAAAACCTCATCACTCCCTAAACCTTTTAATCTCATTGTGACAGTCTTAACTTTCTTAAACCCATTTTTCGCAGCTCTCTGCTCAGATACAAGACTACAATTAGCACCTGCATCGATAAATGTGACGAG